GACGCGCTGGGCTGCAGCGTCGTCATCATCACGAACGCCGACGAGGAGTGGGTCAAGTTCTCGAGCCGGCGCTTCCTGCCGCGCGTCGTGCCCTTGCTCGCGCGCGTCCGCGTCGTCTCCGCGCGTCACTACGAGGCGCTCTACCCCGGCCGCTCCGTCTGCTGGAAGGCCGCGGCCTTCACGCACGTCGCCAAGGCCTTCTTCGCCGCCGCCGAGGACGAGCTCGCCGCCGCCGAGGCCTGCGCGGCGGCCGCGGCGGGCCGGCCCGCGCCGCCGCGGCGGCCGCCGCCGCCGCGCGAGATCATCTCCGTCGGCGACTCCAACGACGAGCGCCTCGCCGTGCGCGCCGCCGCGCGCCCCCTCGACGCGACGCCCAAGGCCATCAAGCTCGTCGACGCGCCCTCGCTCCACACGATCGCGTGCCAGCTCCACACGGTGGCGACGTGCCTGCCCTTCGTCGCGCACGGCGACTTCCCCATCGACGTCGACGTCGCGGCCATCCTCGCCTACGTCGGCGCCGCCCACCGCGACGGGCCCGTCCACGACGTCCTCCAGCGCGTCTGGCGCGACGCGGCCTGGGGCGTCCTCACGGCCATCCGCTTCCAGGGCAACGAGGCCAACGCGACGCTCGACGACGCGCCGCCGCCGCCCGACGGCAGCCCGTCCTCGCCCGCGCCGAACGTCGTCGCCGCCGCGTAGCCCCTTCGCGCGCAAAAATTCGTTTCCTCTAACTGCCACTGAGTCGAGCCACCCGGGGCGCTGCTCTCAACTCCTTACGCCGCGCGTCGAAACGCGACCGTCGCGACGGCGGCGCCCTGGACGCCGCCGAACTGGAACGTCGGGTACCGGACGCGGTCGAGCTCGGAGAAGGGCGACGCGCCGCCGCCGCCCCACGTGTCCGCGTTCGCGGCGGCGAAGTGGCGAATGAGCTCCTCGGCCGTGTTGTTGCACGACGTCAGCAAGAACACGCCGCCGGGCGCGACGGCCGCGGCGACGGACGTCGCGTAGGCCCGCACGGACGCGCCGTCGCCGAGCATGTAGGCGTCGAAGGTGCCCTTGTCGCAGACGAGGTCGAACCGTTCGTCCAGAGCCTCGAGCTTCGTGATGTCCGCCTCCTCGAACTGGCTCGACGCGCCGCGCTTCGCGCCGACGGCGCGCGCGAGCGCGATGCCCGCGGGCGAGTAGTCGACGCCGAGCGCGCGGCCGACGTCGACGGATTCCTCGACGTCGAGGAGGAACACGCCCGAGCCGCAGCCCAGGTCCAGCACCGAGCCGCCGGGATGCGCGTGGTCCTCGACCCACTGGAGCAGGCGGCTGCCCACGTTCTCCGAGAACCAGTCCACGCCCTCGTCGTCCTCGTCGGCGGCGAAGTTGTCGCGCTCCCTCGCATAGTGGTCGTCCCAGTGCTGCTGCGTGCCGAGCGTACTTTTCAGGTGCAGGACACCGTCCTCCGACGCGCCGACGTCATCCGTGCTTGCGTCGGCGGCAGCGACCGCGTCGGCGACCGCGTTTTTCGGCTGGACGAGTGCGGCCATCGCCTCGTTGCCGTGCGACGTTGCCGCAAGACCGGCTCGCCGATCGAGTGGCGGCTGTTGATTGCCGCAGGCTTCAGTGCTGCACCGAGCACCACGCCAGTCAAGCTGAACATGGCAAGCGTCCCGTGAACCACGAACAAACTGAAGAGACCATGCGACACCTCCAGCTCCCGCTCCTCGCGCTGCTCGACGCGCGGGCCTCCGCGTTCAACGCTGCCTTCCGCCGCCTCCTCCTCCAGCGCTCCATCCAGACGCAGATCGTCTACCTGACGGACTTCCACGACGAGGTCAAGGCCACCTGGCTCGGCGAGTACGGGAGCCCCGCGGCGCCGCTGGGCACGGTGCGCCTGAGCAACACGGAGTGCCTGCCCAAGTACCACGGCCTCGACGCGTTCTCGTCCTCCGTCGACGCGACGCAGTACCTGCGCGACATGCTCCTGGAGGAGCCCTTCGTCTACGCCGTGCGCTACAAGGTGGGCACGGCGCCCGGCCACGGCCCCGGCGCCGACGAGGGCGACGGCTTCGGCACGGGCAACGCCGACGGCGGGTCGGGCGCGTTCGGCGACGACGAGGCCGCGGCCGCCGCGGCGTTCAAGTCCGGCGTCGACATGTGGGCCGCGGGCGTCGACAAGAAGGAAGCGCCCGCCCCCGCCGCCGAGGCGAACCCCGCCAAGGCCGCCAAGGCCGCCAGGGCCGCCGAGGCCCTCGGCGTCATGAGCCACTTCGACACGACGGCCGGAAAGTTCGCCGGCAAGGACGCGGCGAAACAGCCCGCGTCGACGTCGTCCGCGCCGGCCTGGGGCAACGCCGCGGCGAGCCGGCGGCGGAACCCGTACCTGAAGAACGAGGCCAGGTACATCGAGTACGACGAGACGGTCGTGCCCGCGCGCGTCGCGCAGCTGCTGTTCCAGGTGCAGTCGCAGATCGCACAAGAGTGGAGCCGCGACCTGCTGGCCATCGCCGCGGGCACCATCGAGCCGGACCTGCCGGCGAACGGCCAGGAGCTGGACGAGCGGGAGATGCTCGCGCGCGTCCAGTCGGCCTACGCCAAGGTCGTGCGCGAGCACGCGCTCGCCGCGGACGAGGGCATCGGGACGTCGGACTCGTCGCCGCTGCGCGCGGCGAACCTGGACCTCTGCGAGCGCCTGGCGACGCGCGAGGCGGCGCTCGCTTTGCTCGCCGAGGGGTCCCTGCCGCGCGGCGCGGCGCGGCGGCTCGAGGCGAAGCTCCAGTTCTCCGAGGCGGACGTCGACCCGACGCCGCCCGACGACGAGGACGACAACGAGTTCCTCGCCCTCAACCGCGCGCTCAAGCAGCGCGCCAAGGAGCTCAACCGCGTCGACGCGCTCGGCGGCCACGCGCGGCGCCGCGGCCTCGCGCGCCGCTGGCTCGAGGACCTGGAAAGGTCCGACGAGGAAAGCGACCAGGCCGTCGCGTCCCTCGTGCGGCGAAAACGCGCCGAGCTCGCGCGGACCTGGGCCAACTCCTGCGTCGAGGACCTCGCCGCGGAGCACGCGCTCCTCCTCCGCGAGGCCCTCGAGCAGCAGCTCCGGAGCGGGCCCGCCGACGGCGCGCCGGGCCCCTACGACGGCCGAGAAAGCTAAGAAAGCGGCCCGCCGTTCGCGCGCGGTCTTAACGGCGTCGCCGGACGCGTCGGCCGTGCGCATGGGTGGCGTCGCGCGCGGCGCGCGTTCAACGAGGCGCGGCCAATGTTGAAGAGCAAGCACTGATGATGAGATGATGGGCAGCCCAGCTCCGAGGCATGCGGTATGCGCGCGCTCTCAATAGCAGTGCTGCTGGCATACGCCCGCGGCTTCACGCTCGATGCGCGGGGCTGGCCGTCGACCGATGACGCCGTCGCCGAGGCGCGCTACGCGACGAATACGTACCGCGCGCGCAACGGGAGCCTCGAGTTCGTCCACGTGCACAAGTGCGCCGGCACGACGGTCAACCTGCACGTCTCGGCGCTGCTCTGCGCCGGGCGGCCCGACGACGTGGCGACGCCCGGGGACCACCGCGCCGTCGGCGAGGCCTGCGCGAACGTGCAAACGCCGGTGGCGGATCGCGAGACCGTCGCGGCGTGGCGACGAACGCCCTGCCGGCTCGTGCGGCCCCACCCCGTCGACGCGCGGCGGTCCCTGGCGTTGATCGCAGAAACGTACGGCGCCGCGCCGCGCTTCGTCAGCGCGCACGAGGAGTGGTCCGCGTTCGAGATCCCCTGGCGGCCCGAGACCACCTACAAGGCCGTCGTCGTGCGGTCGCCCTACGCCTGGTGGAAGAGCAACCTGCTCTACGCCTGCCGCTGCAAGGATCGTCCGCCGGCCTACGGCCGGCTCTGGACCATGGCGCAGGCGCTGCGGACGCGCGACGCGGAACGCGCGTCGCAGGCGCTCCGGAATCGCGTCGCGCAGACCGCGCTGCCCCGGGCCCTCGTCGAGGAGCTGGAGCGGGGCGCCGCCGGCGCTCCGGCGGCGACGCGGCGCGTCCTGGCGAGCTACGCCTTCGTCGGCACCGTCGAGCGCCTCGACGCGTCGCTCTGCCTGCTCGCGCGGACGTTCCTGAGCGGGCCGGGCGCGTGCGCGCTCTGCTGCGCGCACTCCGCCGGCGCGACGCCGCACCACAACGCGGGCGCCGACGACGCCTGCGCGGCGGCGGCGAATTTTAGCGCCGGGGACGAGGCCGCGTTCGTGGCGCGGCACGCGGCGGACGGTGCCGTCTACGACGTCGCGGCGGCCGTCCTCGACGCGCGGCTCGCGGCCGCGGCGCGCGAGGACTGGGGCCGCGTCGGCGCGTCGTGCGCGTGCGACGTGGTCGTGGAGTAACGCATGTGTAGCTTCCAAAAATCGGCCCCCGAGCTCACTAACGGACGCCCCGCGTAGTTATTGGAAAAAGGCTCAGTCGGACAGCGGCAGGCACGCGCCGCCGATGGCGGAGTAGCCGCCGTCGACGGGCAGGTTCGCGCCGTGGACCATCTTGCACGCGTCGCTCAGCAGCCAGAGGACGGCGTCGGCGACGTCCGACGGCTCGGGGAAGCGGCCCAGGGGGATGTGGGCGAGCATGGGCCCGGACTTGGCCGGGTCGGCCCAGGCCTCGCGGCCCATGGGCGTCATGGTCACGGTCGGGGACACCGCGTTGACGCGGACGCCGAGGCTCGCGCCGAGCTCCAGCGCCATGACGCGCGTGAGCTGGTTGAGGGCGCCCTTGGAGGAGCAGTAGGCCGCGCGCTCGGGCATGCCCGCGATGCCGCTGGGCACGCTGGACACGTTGACGACCGCGCGGCCCGGCGCCGCCGGGGTCTCCGCCCACTTCTTCGCGACGGCCTGGGTGACGAACATGGCCGCGCGGCAGTTGACGTTCATGACCGTGTCCCAGGCCTCGACCGTGACGTCGAGGAACTTCTGCGTGGCGCCCGTGCCCGCGCAGTTGACGACGAGGTCGACGCCGCCGCCGCCGCCGAGCGCCCACGCGTCCGCGCCGGCCTTCGAGCACGCCGCCGCGTCGCTCAGATCCGCGACGAGGGGCACGAAGTTCGCGCCGAACTCGCGCTTGCAGGCCTCCAAATCCTCGGCCGTGCGCGCGACGCCGACGACGACGCAGCCGCATTTGACGAGGGCGCCGGCGACCGTCTTGCCGATGCCCTTGCCCGCGCCGGTGACGAGCGCTTTGCGGCCGCCGAAGGACAGCGACGCGTCCTTGCCGGCGACGGCGTTGCTGAGGTGCGCGAACATGGTGGTGCTGGCAGCGGAGGATGCGGTGGTCGGCGGCTTGGAGGCGCTCTCCGACGACTCGTCCATGTCTGCTCGATCAGTTCAGCGAGCGCTTCAATATTACCACAGGCGTCCCAACTTTTACCTGACGACGACGCCCGGGCACGCGTCAGCTGAGAGGCTCGCCAGTGCCGTCCGGTCGGCGTCGAAGGGCGCGAGCCACAAACCAAGCAGCTGGAAGGCCGCGGCCACATCGCCCGGCTCCCGCTCCAGCGCGAGCGGCGGCGACGTCTGCGCCGCGAGGTAGGCCGCGAGGCTCGCCGAGAGCACCGCGGCGCCCGTGGCGTGCGTCGGCGCCCGGACGAGGCCCGCGGCCCGGTCCAGCGCCGGCAGCAGCGGCGCGTCCGACGCGACGGCGGATCCGCCGTAGAGCGGCTTCGGCGACGCGCGCGCCGCGAGCTCCGCGGCGAGCGCCGGCGCGCAGGCGGCCGCCGCGGCGTCGGCGAGGATCGCGACGTAGTCCGCGCGCACGGCGTCGGCGGCTGCTCGGAGCCCCGCGAGGGCCGCGGCCGCCGCGCCCGGGCCCGGCGGCGCCGCGAAGCAGCGGACGCCGGTCTCCGGGCAGGCGCCCGTCAAAACAACGAGGACGAGCGGCGCCGCCTCCGCCGGCGCCGGCGCGCCGCGCCGGGGCTTCGAGGGCCGCGGCGCGTGGGCGGACGCGCCGGGCACGGACGAGCAGTGCGGCGGCACGTCGCGCGGCAGCTGCTTCATGCCGCACGCGTAGAGGTCCCAGGACGCGTTGGAATCCGCGAACCGGTTCGCCATGAGCGCCTCGCACCGGGCGGCCTGGGCCGGGTCGACGACGGACTTCATGTTCTTCTGGTTCGGGAAGTAGTTGTCGGCCATCGCGCGCAGGTTCACGCGCTTCGCGTCCAGACCCAGCATCCAGAGCCCGAAATTCGTGTCCTCGTGGAGGTGGTGGTAGAGCGCCCCCGTCTCGAAGGCGGCGACGACGCTCGCCGCCGCATCGCGGCTCACGGCGTAGCCGTGGCCCCCGAAGTGCGGCGGGTCGTGGACGAGGCCCAGGTTCGCCCGGAGCGGCTTGCCCTCCGCCAGCGGCCGCCGGAACTTGAGCTTGCGCCCGGCGTACAAGGCCGCGTCGTGCGGCGCCGCGCGCAAATCCTTGATAATCTGCCCGAGGCAGAGCGTCGCGTCGTCGTCGGTCTTGATGACGTAGTCGAAGTCCAGTTGTTTCACGGCCAGGGCCAGCGCGCAGGACACCTTGTGGATGATGCGGTTGAAGCCGCTCGGCACGTCGCAGACGACGACGTCGTCGAAGGTGTTTCGCTCGGTTATGAAGTCTGCAGCGCTAAAATCGGCGTCCCGCGACGACACGACGAACCAGAGGGCCACGTCGAAGCTCGACGGCTTGCCCCAGCCCTTGCGGATGGCGTCGCGGTTCGGCCGGTGCGCCGGCACCGTCAGCACGACGGCGAGCAGCTCCAAGGCTGCTGTCGAGAGACACAGCAGCGCGAGGCTGCCCCAAAAGCGCCGCATCGTGCTGGTGTTTTTGAGCAGCGCGAGGCTGCCCCACATCGCGTTTAAAAAGTAAACTTTTGGTTCAACCTAGCGCTTCGCTAAAACCACTAGCTGCCTCGCCTGTGCCAACCGGTCCCCTGCCCGCGCGCCAGCCGCGCAGCACCGCGCCAAAAATGGACGACGCTTCCGACGACCGCGAGGAGGTCTACGCCGTCGACGACGGCGCGGCGTCCATGGACGACGACCTCGACGAACCGGACGACGACGCGCCGCGCCTCGTCGAGTCGGCGCTGTCGCTGCGCGAGCGCTTCCGCCTCGTGCGGAAGATCGGCGAGGGCGCCTTCGGCGAGGTCCACGAGGGCCTGGACGAGGCGTCGGGCGAGCGCGTGGCGCTCAAGCTCGCGCGGCTCTGCGGCGTGCCGGGCAACGAGCGCGACGACGGCAAGAGCCTGCCCAAGGCCGTGCTCCGCGAGCTCTGGTGCCTCCAGGAGCTCGTCGGCGAGCCCCACGCGACGCAGTACTTGGCTCACTTCCCCCGGGGCGCGTCCCTGGCCCTCGTGCTCGAGTTCTGCGCGACGGACCTGCAGAGCGTGATGGCGGAGCGCGACGGCGGCGCGCCGCTGCCGGAGGCCGCCGCGCGGCGCTGGACGCGCGAGCTGCTGATGGGTCTGGAGGCCGTCCACGGCGCGGGCCTCATGCACCGCGACGTCAAGCCGTCGAACTGCCTCCTCACGGACGGCGGCGTCTTGAAGCTCGGCGACTTCGGCCAGGCGCGGCCCGTCGAGCGGAAGGTGTCGTTGGTGGATCGGACGGACCCGAACTACAGCCACCAGGTGTCGACGCGCTGGTACCGCGCGCCGGAGATCCTCTTCGGCGCGCGCGTCTACGGCCCGTCGCTCGACCTCTGGGCCGTCGGCGTCGTCCTCGCGGAGCTGCTCCACAACTTCGTGCTCTTCGAGGGCCACAGCGACATCGAGCAGCTCGTCGTCGTCTTCAAGAAGATGGGCTCCCCGTCGAAGGAGCGCTGGCCCTCGGCGTCGGCGCTGCCCGACTTCGCGAAGATCTGCTTCCCGGACGCGGAGCCCCAGGACATGGAGGCCTACCTCCCGAACGCGACGATCGGCGCGCTCGACCTGCTCGGCCGGCTGCTCGTCCTCGAGCCGAGCAAGCGCGACGCGCCCGCCGCCGCCCTCGGCCGCGCCTTCTTCGACGGGCCCGACGCGGACCGCGCGGACCTCGCGGCGATCGTCGCCGAGACCGCCATCAAGGTCGCGGCGAAGCCCGCCGGCTCGTCGCGCTGCTACGACGACGACGACAGCTGGTGACTTTTAATTTCGACGGCGCGCGAGCCTCGTTGTTCGGGGGAGCGGTCAGAGATTCTTACTTGTCGGATGTCTTTTCCGCGGCCGCGGCGACGCAGAATGGCTTGTGGGCCTTCCAGGCGCTCTTCTGACAGGATCCGCTGCAGTAAATAACTTTCAAGCAGCGCGCGCACTGAATGAGCTTGCACGGCTTGAGGCACACCGAGCACTCGTGCGGCTTCTTGCGGCGAACCCGGCGCAGCGCCGATTCGATGAGCGGCTTCGCGTCGGCGGGACAATTGCGGTATTCGACGAGCTCGTAATCCGAGTTAATCTGGCATTCCCACTCGGCCTCGTACGTCCTGTCCGTGGCCAATGAGAACTGGACGTCGCGCACGACCGGTCCCTCGAGCGAGAACGGTATCATCCCGCCGCCCGTGACCTTGTATCGACCGTGGGCCAGGAGGACGCCATCCATAGCCACCTGACCTTCGAGGACTCGCCGTCCTTCGATGAGCATGGTACGCAAGGTCTTTGAGGTCTTTCCAGCGCGAATTTCAGCGCCGCCATGGTTTTTTATGTTTTCCGCCTGATTGACCCACTCCGCATCCAGCAGCTTGGCCATCTGAGAGCTTCCCGGGGGAAGGTCGTCCGCCGCTATAAAATCGGTGTAGGTCTTTTCCATCATATTAAACTTGGACATCTTTGCCACGCGGCGGGCCCGAGCGGCTGCTCAAAGCTCGCTAAAAATGCCACAAGAAGTAACTAAAAACGCCCCCAAAATGCCACACTCACTCGTCCACGGGTCCAGCGCGAGACAAACTTGAAACAGAAGCGGGGCTTGTGACTCGTCACCCGATTGCGACCCTAGACTGCGACGAAAGGTTTTGTGGCCTTCGGGACAGTTCCGACCGCGGCGCGGCGGCCCCTCGGCGCGCGGCCTACACGCCGTGTGCTGACTGTAAGCTCCGTAGAGACACCACACCATCTAACCATGCCTCCGACGTGAAGAACGAAAGCATTGGCGGTGTGCACTCGTCGGCCTTTTAGACGTCCGCTCGCGCGCTGCAACGAGGCTGCAAGTTAGCCAAGATGCCTTGACGAGGCGCGAGGACTTCAAATCTGGAGAGCGCGAGCTCGTCGGCGCGCGCGCGTATCGCAACCAATACAGCCCTCCCCGCTCCCGCGCGCCTCCTCCCCCTCCGTCCCATCCCTCCGCACGCGCAACACGCAAAAAACTGCATCTCCGGGCGCCGCTTACCCAGTGAGCGCGACGGTTTCATTTCAAAAAGATAAGATGTCGTCGTCGGCCTCGTCCGACTCGCAGCAGCGAGCCGCGCGCCTCGAGCGCCGCGCGCGCCGCGGCCCGGCGCCGCCGTCGCCCACGGACAGCACCGGCGAAGCGAAGCCGCGCGACACCGCCGACAAAATCGCGTCGGCCGACACGTGCTTCGCCGTGCTCGAGAACGTCGCGCTCGCGGCGGAGATCGCCATCTCCGCCGACGCCGCGTCCGTGGGCCGTTTAGGCGCCTGCAGCAAGCGCGCCTACGCCGCGAGCCTCGGCGCGTGCGCGCAGCTCGCGCGGCGGCGCCACGGCGTCGCGCTCCCCGAGGCCCAGTGGACCGTGCCGTTCGTCGAGGCGCGGCTCGCGGCGGGCCAGGCCCGCGACGACGACAGCCCGGAGACGCCCCTGGAGCTCCTCCGGTTCCTCGAGTCGCGCGACGGCGCCGCCGGCCGCCGCGGCGCGTGCTTCGCGGCGTTCTCGGCGCGGCACGGCGTCTTCGTCGACGACCGGGGCGCCGCGTTCGCGTGCGGCCGCGCGGAGGACGGCCGCTGCGGCCTGCTGGCCGACGCGCTCGGGCGGTGCGAGGCCGGCGGCCAGGGCGCGCTCCTGTCGCCGACGCCGCTCAAGATCGACTCCGCGGCGGCGTTCGAGCGCGACGACGACGACGACGACGCCGCGGCCGCGGCGCCCGAGGACGCGCGCAAGCGCGTGCGCCGCGGGTCGCCGGCGTCGCCGGCGCTGCCGCCGGCGCCGACCTTCGGCACCTGGGGGCCGACGCCCGCGGCGACGCCCCAGGCGCCGCGGCGCGCGCCCGGCGGCGCGCCGCTGCCTCCCCGGCTCCCGGGGTCGACCGTCTACTCGGTGCGCGACGACGAGCGGTCCTACGCGGGCTACTCGCCCGAGCGGCCCTACGCGACGCGCGCGCGCCTCAGCGCGCCGCGCCGCGAGCCCGGCGCGCCGCGGAGCCCCGCGCGGAAGCGGCGCGCGCGCCGGCGCGCGACCGTCGAGGTCGCGCTCGAGGACACGGTCGTCGGCGTCGCCGCGGGCGCGGGCCACTCCATCGTGCTCAGCGCGCTCGGCGTCGCGTCGTGCTGCGGCCGCGGCGCGCCGCGGTCGCCGGCCGTGGCCGCGCTCAACTTCGACGGCGAGTCCGGCGAGTCGTCGGGCGACGACGGCGACTCGTCCGACTCCGAGGCCGCGCGCGCGCCGCGGCCGTCGACGCGGTCCCAGCGGCGCACGGGCCGGCCCCGGGGCGGCCGGAGCCCGTCGGCGGCGCGGTCCGTGCGGAGCGCGTCGTCCGCGGGGTCGCGGCTCGGCCGCGTCGTCGCGCAGTCGCCCGCGCCGCTCGGCCTCGGCCTCAAGACGCGCGTCGTCGTCGTGTCCGCGTCCGCGAACCACGCGCTCTTCGTCACGGCCGCGGGCCGCGCCCTGAGCTCGGGCGTCGGCGCCTTCGGGCGCCTGGGCCACGGCGACGAGGCCGACGCGCCGAGCCCGCGCTACGTCCGCGGCCTCCGCCACGCGCGCGTCGTCGCCGCGGCCGCGGGCGCGGCGCACTCGCTCTTCGCGACGGCGTCCGGCGTCGCCTACGCCTGCGGCCAGGGCGAGGACGGCCGCCTCGGCCTCGGCGCGCCCGTCGAGGACGACGAGGAGGAGGACGACGACGACAGCGACTCGTCGGCGTCGTCGGCGCCGGACGCGCGGCGCCGCCGCCGCCGGGGCCGCGGCCGCGCGCCGCGGCCGCCCGCGCCGAAGCGCGCGAAGCCGTCGGCGTCGGCGCTGCCGCGGGGCCGCACGGCGGACCGCGCGGGCGACGTGCTGACGCCCCAGGCCGTCGCCCTCGGCGAGGGCCACGCGGGCGACGCCGTCCGCGACGTCGTCGCGGGCGCGCACCACTCCATCTTCCTCACCGTCGGCGGCGCCGTGCTGTCCTGCGGCCACAACGCGTCGGGCCAGCTCGGCCACGCGAAGCAGCGCACCTTCGCGCCGGAGGTCGTGCCCTTCCCCGCGCGGACCGCCGCCGGCTCCGGCGGCGCGCCGGCCGTCGCGCACGCGGCCGCGGGCTACGCGCACAGCCTCTTCGTCGACGAGGCCGGCGTCGCCTACGCCTGCGGCTCGAACGCGCGCGGCGCCCTCGGCCTCGGCGACCACGTCGACAGCGCCTACCGCGCGACGCGGACGCCGCCCGAGCGGTCCGCCGCGGGCCGCGCGCTCGGCCTCGTCGCGCGCGTCGCCGCGGGCGGCGCGTCGTCCGCGCTCAAGGCCGAGTCCGGCGCCGTCTACGTCTTCGGCGCCAACACGGACGGCCAGCTCGGCCTCGGCCACTTCTCCGACGTCTACGCGCCGACCGCGCGCCCGACGCTGCCCTCCGCCTAGGCCGGCGCCGGCGCCCAGAACGCGGCGCGCGCCGCCCGCGCGCCGAGACGCGCCCTAAACCACCGCGCGCACGAAGCCACCACGGTGCGAGGGGCTCGCGGCCGGCGAGGGTGCCTGAAGTGGGGTGCGCGTCGCTCGGGGACGACACCGCCAACGTCCACCACGACCTAGGCCGAGTTTATGCGCCGCTGGAAGTCCTCCCAGCCCGACCGCCGGTCCTTCTCCGTCATGTCGCCGGCCGTCGTCGAGTCGGCCATCGCCGGCGCCTTCGACGACTTGAAGCCGGGGAAGAGCGCGGCCGCGCCGCCGCCGCGGAGCGCCGAGGCCGCCGCGGCCTCGGCCGCGCCCCGCGCGGACGCGGGCTTGGGCTTCGCGGGCGGCGGCGCGGGCGCGCCGGCGTCGGCGGCCGCCGCGTTCATGCGCAGCACGTCGCCGGGGCTCGGGAGGCCCTTGGCGTCCGAGCTCGCCGCGCGCGCCTCGCGGGCCTCGTAGCTCGACGCCGCGGGGCCCGCCGCGTCCACGACGTAGGACGTCGCGTAGCCCGGCGCGGACACGTCCATGTGGTCGACGAAGCCGCCGCCGCCGCCGCCGGACGCCTCGAGGCCCGCGTAGCGCGCCTTGCAGTCCCGCCGCTCCTGGCCGCGCAGGTGGTCCCAGGGCTTGGGCGCGCGCTTGCCGCGCTGCTGCTGCGGGGGCGGCGGCGGCGGCGGCGGCGCGGGCGCGGCGGGCGGCGGCGGGCCGCCGCCGCGGAGCGCCGCGAGCCGCGCGGCGACGTCGGGCGGCAGGCCCTCGTAGAGCGCGGCGTCGCTCTGCTGGGCGACCGGCGGCGGCGGCGCCTCGGCGACCGGCGGCGGCGCGGCGGGCGGCGCCCACGTCGACAGGCCCGTCTCCGGCTGGAAGAAGTAGTAGGACCACGCGTCGGGGTCGAACGTCGCGATCCAGCCGAAGGGGCACGGCGGCGGCGGCGGCTTCCTCTCCGCGGGGCGGAAGCCCCCGGCGGGCACGTCCCAGCTCGACGCGCCCGTCGCGTCGTCGTGGAAGTAGCGCGCGCCCGTCGCCGGGTCCTCCCACTCGGCCCACGTCGGCTCGGCTTCGAACCGCGCGTCCGTGTCGGGGTAGGCGTCGTCCGTGGACGGGTAGGCGCCCGTGGCGTACTGCGCGTCCGTGTCCGGGTAGGCGTCGTCCGTGGACGGGTACGCGCCCGAAGCCGGGTAGGCGCCGTCCGTGGATGGGTAGGCGCCCGAAGCCGGGTAGGCGTCGTCCGTCGACGGGTACGCGCCCGTGGCCGGGTAGGCGGCGTCCGTCGACGGGTACGCGCCGGTCGCCGCCGCGGACGGCGCGTCGCCGCGGAGCGCCGCGAGCCGCG